TTAACTTCACACTGCAGAGACGTGTCAGCTCACCGACTGCACTAATCAGGATGGTCATCGACGCAGCAGTCGCAAACGCTATCCTCGCTACTTCAAAGAACGAAACCGAACTGGAAACTCTATACGCAGCATCGCCGTAGACGCAGTGCAGTCAAAGCAAGGCAAAGCAAAGCAAAGCAAAGGTGTCCCTTGTCGTCCATGAGGGACTGATAAGCAGTCGATTAGTGGTGTGAGTACTACTGCTCGGTGACTACTGTACTCTGATGCTGCTGCTGAAGAAGGAGGAGGAGGCGGGCGAGAGATCGATCAGTGGCAGACACAGCAACAGCTTTCTTTCTCTTTCTCTGTCTACTACCTCTCTCTCTCTCTCCTTTTAGCAGCACGCATTCATCAGTGCACTTGCCACTTGTTTAGCACACCGGTGGTTGATCAACCACTGGCCCCGTGCACTCGTAAACTGGAGGACCGTCTATAAGACACTGCAGAGGTCGACACAAACCCAACAGTTGCGCGGCAGAAACTGATTCGCTAACACACACACACACACATACACACTCCACGTCACCAATTGTTCGACACATTTGTTCGTCACACACTGTTCTGTGTGCTATTACTTTCCCTGTTTTGCCAACACGTAAGTTCAAATGACTGCAGTGAGTAGCAAGCAACCTTCGAGCTAGCAAACACATCATTGCCAATTTGTCATTTCATTACTCGCATTATTCGCGCCACTAATTCATCCGCTGCAAGCACCAAGTCTTTGCGTCGCCTCTGTTTTTCGCGCGCCCCAAACGAGTGCTTCCACTCTTCCACCGTCTACTTCAAGTGTAAGTGTCTGCGAAGAGTCTGCCTTGAATTCTTGTGCGCCTGCTCCCTCTCTTCCTCACTGTGAATGGAGTCATGAGAATGTGCACGAATGTCAAACAGACAAGCAGTGCACTCGCTGTGCTGACGACCCGCTAACACAGCGCTCTCACTCGGTGCCCCCCACACTCTCCGAAGCACAGCTGATGACCATCTGATAACAGCATGCCTGTATTTGACGCCCGGCAAACTCCCGCTTGCCACATGCTGCTTCTGCTTCTGCTGCCGCTTCATTAGGCACTAGGTCCGCTGCTGCACCTGCTGCTGCGCTCTAATCGCCACTCTAATCTCTCCACAAAGCCGCATCAGCACTGATCTCACTCATCAATGCAACATTCATTAACCGATTTGCCTTCTCTCCTCCATCCTCCTCCTCCTCTCTTCCTCCTCCTCCTCTTCTGTAGCCACATTTCGAAATCATAATGCGTAAGGTGGCCATCATCGGCTCCGGCAACTGGTAACGTTGACAACCGAGTGACAACCCCTTAAGTTGTGTGCTAATAATACAATCTCTCCCGACCAACCAACGAACAGGGGCTCTGCTATCGCCAAGATCGTTGGCGCCAATGCCGCTAAATACCCGCACTTTGCGGATGAAGTTCGCATGTACGTCTACGAGGAAATGGTGGATGGTCGCAAGCTGAGTGAGATTATCAACACACAGCATGAGAACGTCAAGTACCTGCCTGGACACAAGCTCCCGGTGAACATTGTCGCCGACCCTGATCTGCTCAGCGCCGCCCGTGACGCTGACATTCTCATCTTCGTTCTGCCGCACGCCTTTGTGCCGCGAATCTGCAAGCCACTGAAGGAGGTGGTAAAGAAGGACGCCGTGGGCATTTCCCTCATCAAGGCAAGTTTCGATGAAAGTGACAAAAGCAAACAACTGACTGTTACAATCTTTCCCTATTCAGGGCTTTGGTGAGCTGCCCAATGGCGGCATCGAGCTTATTTCCGATGTCATCCGCCACAACCTAGGCATCGAAATGACCGTCCTCATGGGCGCCAATCTGGCCAACGAAGTCGCCGAGGGGCACTTCTGCGAGACCACCATTGGTGAGTGTTGGGGGTACAGGTGTTACTGCTGCTGTACAGTGCTCATGACAACTTCTCTGTGCAGGCAGCAAGAGCGGCCCGAATGGTGCCATCCTCAAGACGCTCTTCCAGACTGACAACTTCCGCGTCACTGTGGTGCCTGATGTGTACACTGTCGAAATTTGTGGTGCTCTCAAGGTAGGCAGTCAAGTGCCCACTGAAGGGCTGCAGATGATTAATATAAATGTCTGAATTTTTGCAGAACATTGTCGCTTGCGCGGCCGGCTTTGCCGACGGCCTCGGCCTGGGCGACAACACCAAAGCGGCCATCATTCGCATCGGTCTGAAGGAGATGATCCGCTTCTGCAAGACCTTCTTCGCCGACGGCCTCCAGGTGACCACCTTCTTCGAGTCGTGTGGCGTCGCCGACCTGATCACCACCTGCTACGGCGGGCGCAACCGACGCGTCTCGGAGGCCTTTGTCAAGACGGGCAAGTCCATCGAAGTGCTGGAGAAGGAGCTGCTCAACGGCCAGAAGCTTCAGGGATACCAGACCTGTGATGAGGTCGTCAAGATGCTCACCGTAAACGGCCACCTTGATCGTAAGTAGTTTTTGTGTGATTCGCTCACTGACTTTTGCCACATCTTCCCTCTTAGGATTCCCTCTGTTTGTCGCCGTGGACAACATCTACAAGGGACAGATCCCTCCGATGAAGCTCATCGAGCGCATCCGCATGGAGCCCACTGACGACTGAATGGACGGCTTTGGTGTCCATTCTGGGGCGCCAAGCACTCCTGCTTTCATACCTCATTTCCGCCTACTTGTTATTTTTTCCCTCCTCATTGCGCAACTGTTGACACTTTACAATTTTATTCTCTTTCGATGTTTTTGTAGGCAGTTCCATGTGCTCAGAAGGTGAAACTTAGACACTTCGTGAGGCATTGTTTTCTTGTTATACATTAAAATGATTTTTTCAAACGTAAAAAGAATTTCAAAACATTGGCTGATAGTGCCAGCCGGTTTTATCAGTGATATTTGATATTTGCACTGCTCGTCTGTGTCACTACTAGCCCACTTTCTAGATATGCTGGCACACAATCAAGAGATATTTCTGCCATGTCGTGGGTACTACCAGCTAGAGATCGACCATGATTGTTGTAAACAAATCGGGCGCAGGCGTACGAGCACCATTTCAGCCTACAGTTCCCTTATCTTCTACTGCGCAGTTGGGCATCGAAGCGACAGCGGCAGCGCCACCGCTTCAGCTTCAGTCGCCTCATGAGCTCGAGCAGTCGTAGTGGCAACACCACAGAGCCCTAGTGCAGTGAAGGTAGCACAGTGAAAGCAGCCTCCCCTCCTTCCAGTGCCACTACGACCGCACGAGAACGAGACAGTCATCGCTGAAAATCCCAAACACACTGCAGCAGTCCTGCTGTGTGTGTTTGTGTTTCTCTGCTGCTCATCATAACGCGGCTGCTCGCTCTCCGGTAAACATCGCGATTCTTCTCAGCTCTTCTGGTGTCGCCGAGCAAGTCACCCTCTGACCGCCATCACCCGAAGACCATCAACGCTTGACCACTCGAGGTAAGTCTCGTCATGTCTTTGAATCAGATGATGATCGTCAAACAGTTTCGCAAGGCCGTGATTGTCAATAGCACTTTCCCCAAACTCGTTTCGGATTGCAGCTGCACCGCTCGATGACTCATAGCAATTTTGTTTTCCTCTTTCTCTCTCTCTCTC